AAAATAATTATTTTAAGAATTTGTTAATTATTGAAAATTTTTATAATATTAATATTTGTATAGTATGCCAAAAATGAACTTTAAATTTAATATAATGCCAATTTTTGCAAAATTTTATTAAAATTTTGTTTTATAAACAAACAAAAAAAAAAATGGCAATTTATGTTTTTCAAGTTTATATTTTTTTAAGCTTCTGAAACTTTATAATTTTTGATTTTTTTTTTTTAATACATTAATTATAATAAATTACTTGGAGCTCAATAACATTGAACACCGAAAATAAAATCACATCAAAACAAATAAAGAACGTTAACATTGAGTTTTTATTAAAAAAAAAAAATTAAAAAAAAAATATTTTTTTTTTAGCTTTTATTTTTCAAAAAATAAAAAGTAATGGTAAAAGTATTAAATATTTTATAAAAAATCAAAAAAAAAAAAAAATTGAAATAAAAATATATATTATTATATATAAATATATAATATAATGTATATATAGATAAGCCTTTTTTGTAATATATTTATTTTAAAGAGAAAATTAATAAATAAATTATATAAAAACAAAAAAAAAATAAGACCCTAGAAAGATCATTGGAAATGTTTTACTTATTATATAATATTTTTTCTTTATGTTTCAAATTTTATTTTAATTGTAAACTATATTGGAATACTTCTTCCTCTGTTGTAAGTATACTGCTTTTTATTTTGTACTAAAATCTAGTTTTTTTTTTTATTTTATATAAATATTTAAAATATATAAAGGTATATATGATTCTTTTCATTTTAAATAAAATAAAATTAAAAAAAAAAAATGTTGCCAAATTAATTATGAATAGTTTTTTGATTTAATATTTTTTTTTAGTTATATATATGTTAAAAATAATAATTTTGTTTAATTTTCAAATTAAAATAATTATATTAATAAATAATAAAATATTAAAGTAAATTTAAATAAAAAAATTATATTTTATTGAATAAAAGAATAAAAATAAAAAAAAAAAACAAGTGATTGAAGTGATTTTTTTTTTGTTCTAATAATTATAGTGAGTTCTCATTTATAATTAATTTTTAGTGTTAATTTTGCTCTACATGTTTATATTTATATAGAAAATATTATATGAGTGTGCAATTGAATTAAGTATGTGCTTTACAAATTAATATGCTTTGTGTATTCTTGTATAAATATATTATTGTTTATAATTCATAAAGGATTATATTTGTAATATATAAATTGCCCTCTTATGATCAATTAAAAATAAAGGCTTGTCCGTTAGATATGCAATATAAATTTCTCTTTTTGCCAATTTATCAAATTTAATATAACAATTAAATTCCGTTTTATAAAATTCATAGTTTTGTAAGTAATTCTTTAAATACGTGAATTTGTGGCCAAAATTAAATTATTTAATTTTTTTTTTCTCAGAAAATTATATTGAACAATTAGTAATCAATTGAAAAATTAATAATTATTTTTCTATATTTTTCAAATCGGTTGCAGTTTTTTAAGTAAAATTTATATACTCGTATCTTAAGTAAAGAAACATTAATAGATATATTGTAATCAACATATAATAAAATTGACGTACACGTACACTATCAGTTTTCTCCTCAGTAATAAACTAATATTATTATTATGATATAAGTAAATAATGAAATATGAACAGAGAATTGGTAAGAATTATGAAATAAAAGAAGAAGCGTGTGGCTGATTCTTTTATTGAAAATTGGGAAATTTCCTCATTTTAAGTATAATTACTATTTAATTTTCCTTAGATAATTTATATTGAAAATCTTGTAAATAGATTTTTGAAAATAGATTGAATTTGGTGATTTTAATCAAGCTGTAAATTTAAGATAGATCAATTATTTAATATCAATTTATATCAGTTCCTGGCAAATAAAAACGTGCCACAATTATAATGATGTCAAAAACATTTTTATTAGGGTTATATTGCAAATATATATGAATATATTAAAAATGAATTGTCATTAATATTATACATGTAAAAGAAAATTTTTATTCTACATCTATTTTCAAGAACTTCTTGAAATGAGTTTAAATTTTTTTTAATATGATTTTAACCGAGGCGCTTTATGTGAAATTCAATATTTTTGCAAATGAGAGGTCTTTGATATTTTTGCAAGCGAGAATCGATGCCTTTGAGCACTTAAAAGATTTTGTAATCTTGCGTTCCAATAAAATTTTCAATTTTAAAATATTTATAATGGAAATGTAAGAAACTGTATTTTGAATAAGAAAAAATTGTTTTGCAAAATATTCTTTTTGTATTTATATATGTATATGTTTTACGGCTTTGAACTTGAATATATTTAAATATGTTGTATTATAGCAATGTTTAATTGAATAATTGTGAAAAAAAAGTGTAAAAGACTGTTTAATTTTTGTGAGAATGCCGTGTATTTAGTAATGATAATTATACTACAAATACTTTATATGTGAAATTATTTATTTTTGATGGTAATTATAATTTTATATATGTATGTATACAAAATGTATGAATTATTTTAATTAAACAAAAAAAAACAAAACAAAAAACGTATTTACAATGAAATTAAAGTAAAAAAAAATTATTTTTATTGAATGTATAGCTATGTATGTAAAATTTTTTTGTCAAATATTAAAAATAATTTTAAAATATGAAATAGTTGATATAAAAAACAAATGAGAAATGTTTTTTTTATCTTTAGTATAACTATAATGTTGCATTTAATGGAGTTAAAAAAAATAAATAAGAAAAATAATAAATAAACAATTAAAAAAAGAAAAACAGTAAAAAAAAAAACAAATTTTAAATAAAAAACACAAAAATTATGACAATTTTAGAAAATTAAAAAAACTAATTTTAATTAATATTTTTTTTTTGTAATTATTATGAACAATAAAACGCCAATAAATAGTTCAATTTAACAAACAAAAAAAAAAATGTGATCAAATTTTTTATTATTTTTTTTTGGGATTTTTTTTTCATGTTTTATAAATTTTTTGTTAATTTTTTCGAATAATTAATTAGAAAATAACAATATATTTATAAATAAAACTTAATATATAATAAATATTATTTTTAAATATAACAAAAATATATCAACTATAATATAGCGCAGCTGCCAATTGCAAACTCAACAATAATAAAATTATAAAATGAAAAGCTCAAAAAAAACAAAAAATATTTAATATTTTTTTCTTTCTTTAATTTTAATTTAAAATTTATATAATATAGTATATATATATATATATTTTGAAAAAATTTTCAAATCTACTGATAACAAAAATTAAGTAGGAATAGAAAGAAAAAAAAAAGAGAAAAAACGAAAAAATGAAAATAAAAAATCAAGCAATTTTCTGAAGAACTTAAGATTTTTTTTTTGTGTGTTTTAAACTGGCAATTTATGTTTCTGTTTCTTTTTTATACATAATAATAAATTCTACTTATTGTCTAATGTTTCGCTATGCAATAGATGTTTAATTAAAAATAAAAAAATTTTATTATTAAAATAAAGATATAAAAGATAAACACATAAGGAAAATTGAATTAAATAAATTAAAAATGGCAGTGCATCTATAATTAAAAAAATTTTAAATTTGAATATGAAATTTAATAAAAAAAATATATGAATTGAGTTATTTTGGATACGTAGGAATTAAATTTCCATTTTATCATTTGTTGTTGAATGTAACTATTATTAATAATATAGTAATAAAAATAATTGTCGTATAACAATATTGTCGTAATTGTCGTATTGAATTCAATTTGTAAAATTTTTTGAAATTTTAATCGATAAAAGTAATTAATTGAAAATATTATTGCAACGAATAGTAATATGAATTAAATTCAAAAAATGTTTTATACATATAATATAATTAATTTTTGTTTTATAAAAATTATAGTACTTTAATTACTTATGTAATATTATTGTTAGTTACAGATACGTGTATAATTTTATTTTTCGATTTTCATATGCATTGATAATTTGATAATCAGTTTATTATTATGTATAGTTGTTATGAAGTGCAAATGAAGTGTTTTTTTGTTTGAAATATGAATTGAATAAATATATGGAGAGTTTAATTCTCAAAATTTAACTATTTTGAAATATGAGCACGATTATAAAATGTAGCTATTTCAAATAGAGAAGAGCTATAATTTAAATAATTTTGTAAATAAGTTTTGATATAATTTGAAGTATTGATAATAAGATAAAATTATCTGTCAATTTGTATATTGTAATTATTTATGATTATGTTTTATATATGTATTGAACATTGATAGCCTAATAGTGTAAGAATTTTTATATTTAAAATATTAGATTTGTCAATATTTATTTTGGAATTCTGATTGCTTATGTAGCCATTTAACGTTTAAAATGAAAATATATGTAAATAAATTAAATACGAAACGAGAATAAATTTAACATGAATTTTATTATAAATTTCCAGTTTAAAACACCAAGGAAGAAAGTAATATTATTTAAAGTATATATGAAGAATTAAAGGGTATTTAATTATTTAGTATTAATTTTTACTTGATTTTTTTTTGAATTGCAAACAATTCTATAACTTTTTAAAAATCAATTCAAAATAAATTTGTTTTTTTTTTTTTAATTAAAATGTTTGGTTTTCCTTTCAGTAGGAAAATTAATTTTTATTTCGTCTGAGTGTTTTTTTTTGTTGTTTATCAATATTCTATTGTATATAGAAAAATAATTTTGAGTAAAAAAAAAATTTGTTTTTTTGTATATTTTTTTGTTTTTTTTTTTTTTTTTTTTGAAAATGTAATAATAAACTCTTTCTTATTTAAGTAATTATACTTTATATTAAAAAAAAAATAACAGAAACAAAAATAAAAACATAATAAAAAATTAATTTTAAATTAAATAATTACATTTTTGTTAAATGAATTTATTTGGTAGTTTTGAAGGGGAACACATTGAATTACAAAAAAAAAAAAAAAATTACACATAGAATTAGATAAAAATTTACTTACCTTATTCGTTGAAGAGATTTCAGATGATCTAGGTGGATCTTCTGTTACCGGTTCATTAACGGGTATACGCTGTTCTTGTACACTTGCCAATCTTAAAAAAATTTTATAATCATATTGTATAAATTGTTTTGAAACAAAAAATACAGCAACATACATATATAGGATTCAATTTCAATTTCAACATCAGATCTATAAAGAAAACAAATTTTACTTACCTCTTCAATGTAACTAAAGTACCAGTCAATTTTTTACAACGTCTTAATGCCGATTCTAAACGATCTGGTTCCTCTTTAAGGAATTTTTCTTCTCTTACAACCTTTTCCATTTCATTTGATAAAATATTTCTTAATCCATTTTGTAATGCAGGGAATTTCATTTTAAGTTCAGCAACAGTTTTACTAAAAAAATTTTAAAACAATAAAAATAATAAAAAATTTAAAATGTGCCTGAATTTATGCAATATTTAACAATTTTTTACATATTTTTGTATTTTTATTATTAGTTGCATTTTATGCTAATAAATTTTTAATTTCCTTAACCGCATTTTAATTTTTATATAATATACTTAAATATAATACTATATACCTTGCTCTGCTCAATACTAATGCCATATCTTCAACAGCTGCCATATTAACTCTTGTTCTCCTATTAATCACTTCACCACGTAATCCTTCAACTGATGCCTCTAAATCACTTAAATCATTTTCCAAGCGTATTACTTCTTGTTTATATAATTCTTCTTCACGTGATATTCTAGTTTTTTCTTGATCACCTTGTCCCCAAAAATTACCGCTACCAGCTAATAATGTTGCACGAATTCTCATAAATGCATCTTTAATATCTTCTCTAACAGCAACTGCTTGTGCTTGTGATAATCTACGTAATGTTCTAACTTCCATTCTTAAATCTTTAGCTTTCTTTTGTAATCCTCTTAAATGATTATAAACTTCGGGTGCTAATGCTATATCAGGCCTGTAATTTGGATGTGTTTGTGCCAGGGCCAATGGTTTTGGAGGTGGTGGTGGTTTTAAACGATCTCTTTCTGCTTTTTATGTTGAAAAAATGAGATTTGGTTTTGGATGGAAAAGAAGAAGAAGAGAGAAAAAAGAGAAAAAAGAGAAAAAGAAAACAACAATAAGATGAAAAAAAAAGAAATAAAAAAAAAAAAGAAAATAAAAAATCATATATAAGCAATTTTTGATTTTTTTGTTTTTTATTGCAAAATATAAAATTAAATTACTTTCTTTTTTTGTTTTTTTTTTTTTTTCTTAATAATAATTATAGTATTTTGAAAAATGATAATGAGATTTTGTTTTTTTATGAGTGTTAAATTTTTGTACATAATTATATTTGTAAACATTTTGTTTTTTGAAAATCTTATCTATAAGAGTCACGAAAAAACATAGTGCAAAGATGTATATATATTATGGAGTTTTGAAAGTTTGCTTATAATTTTTATTTTAATATTCTTAAAATAAATTATTAGTTTAAAAAGATTAATATCATTTGAGTAAATTAATATCCATCCTTTAAGATATATATGTATGTGCAGATAGGTTAGATAACTATATGTATATATGCGGTTTTGTTTCATTTTTTTCTAAATACAACAATAATAAAATTGCTTTCTTATTTATTAATTTACTCAAAGAATAATTTGAATAAAAATATTTCTCAAATACCGAATGTAAGTATTTTTCATAAATTTTATCATTACCTTGGGATGAAGTACGAGGAAGAGTTGATGACTTTATTGCTGGTTTTGGTGGTTTCGAATCGGCTTTTTTTAATCATATATAATATATTTATAATAGCATACATACAAAGTTATGTATACGGTATATTTTGCAAAAATTTACGATTTCAATTTTAAAATTTTTGATGGTTTTTTTGTTTTTTTGATAAATAGCAATTGTGAAGTTGAAAAAAACACACGTGAAAATTGTAATTTTAATTTTTTTTTATTTTTTTTTTGTATTTTTGTTGATTTTTTGCAGCAGTGAAATAAAATAAAAGAAAATATTAAAAAAATTTTTTTTTTGTTTGTTTTTTTTTTTTTAATAAATTTTAATATATCAATTAATTTCATTTGAAATAAAATAGCCAAAAAATCTATAAAATTAATATTATTGCGAAAAATAAGCGTTCAAGCAAAAAACTTTTTTTTTTATTAGCGTTGAAAATAAAGTTTGTGCTATAAATATTTTGTTAAAACATTTTTTAAAATTGAGTTTTTGTGTGTTAAAATTTAAAATAAACATATTTGAAATATTGAAGAAATTAAGGAAAAAAAAGAAAAGGAATTATAATAATTGTTACAAACTTACATATTTTATATATGAATTATATAAATATAATGCCAAAATTGAAAACTTAACTAATATTTTGAATTATATATATATAAAAAATCGATGTTTTTGCAAATATTAATGAAAATATCGAAAAAATTTATTAAGGGAGTGGGGGGAATTAATTATACTAAATGATATTACAAATTATATTATTTAATATACATATAAGGATTATATGCCAAGTGTGTAAAAAAAATAAATGGGGGTATATTTAAATTAAGTATGTTTATACTGGGTTTATATATTAAATATATACAGGGTGTTTCGCAAAAATTATATTCACAAGGAAATTATATATCCAGAGAAATTGATCAAAGAATCAATCCCTGAAAATATTTGCCATATTATGCAAAACACCTTGTATTAAAATTCATTATGTACTTATAGTAAAAAATTAATGTAAAAATCATATTTATAAAAAAAATTAGTGTTTTTGTTTTTCTTATTTGTTTCTTAATGTTATATTTATTTTCAAAATATCAAACAAAATAATAACAATCATAATGTGGTAATAAAATTATCATACAATATTGAAAAAAATATATTTGTTGTATGTAGAAAATTAACACAAAACAAAAAAAAAAACAATAGAACATGCATTAACCATTTTAGCTTATAAAGTTACTCTAATATATAATTTTTTTTTTTTTTTATTTATTTATTCAATGTCTAAAGAGAATCACATAATATACTGATTCTCATTCTAAGACTATATAATGTCAAATTTGTAGATTTACAATGTAATAAAAAGTAATAAACTATCTATTTAATTTGACGATTTCATATACGTTAATACTAAATTTGTTTTATAATTTTAGATTTTTTTGCTTTTTAATTATCGGTTCATTTGATTGAGTTTTACTATAAGAAAGTGTTGAGTGATTCTATTCACATTACAAAAGGTCATTGGTTCACATTACAGTTTGGTTTATATCGATATGTAAAATTATATATAACACTCTTTTTGGAAACACTAAGGCCGGGTGTTGTTTAGTAATCAATTAGTCTTTGATTGCTAGAAATAATAGAAATTGGTCAAATGAGTTTTTTGCGCTATTGTACTCTCTGTCCAACCTTTAGTTTAGAGCTCATTAAAACATTTATAGTTAACACGGCCATTATATGAAGTCATTGTAAGGGATCCAAATGAAAGCAAATATGGTTTGTTAAGTTCGCTTGAAGAAGAACAAACAATTTATTCGTTCTTCCAAATTCGTTATCAAAATTAAGTTGACATAACATAAAATATACTAATTAAAATAATTTCTAAATGATGTTTTATATAACTCAAATAGGAAATTATGGAAACCAAATTAAATTTTTGAATTCTTCGATGTATAAGTTAATTAAAATATAATTGGAAATTGATCACATAATTTATTTTATTCAGGTCATAGAGGCTGAATGAGAAATTATTATTGTTTAATTATTTTATGATTTCGAATTCGAAATCATAATTAAGCACACGAATTACAATTTGATATGATGCTCACATTTGAGTTTGAATATAATTGTAATAAAAATGAAGATAATATATAAATACATTAATGATCTTTTGTTATTAGGAAAGAAGAAAAATCAATTTTGGTTGATTTTATTACTTTTATATTGTGATTTAACCAAATCATTTCTACTTCAAACTTATAAGTCTTTAAGTTATAAATTTAATTATTTTAATGTATAAATTTCAACAAAAACTATTCAGTATTAAATTTTATATTTCGTTTCAATAAAATACTTAAAGATTTAAAACTTAATATAAAAAAAAACATTATTTCCTATTTTATTCGTACTTTTTTTTTAATTAATTACTTATCTATAAATATACTTAAAAATTAAACAAATAACATAATTCAAAAAATTTTCCAATAATTTAAAATACAACAACCAAGCATTTTATATAATAATTAATAAAATATTATATGTATTTCAAATAACAACATTATTGTTAAAAAATTTTTTTTATATTAAAAGAATACAATAAATTAAAATATGAATATATTATAAAACAGAAAAAAAAATCAAATATACGAAAAAAAAAATTATTAAAATTTAAGCACTTCAAACAGCTGTAATTTTAAGTGAATGAGATTTACCAGCATGTTGCGGGCTATGAGATTTTGGCACACCTTGTATATCATCACTAAACGAAACTGATTTTTCAAACGACACAGATTTATCTAAAAGAAAAAAAATTCAAAATGAAGAAAAGAAAAATATTTTATATAATTAGAATTTTATTATTTTTTAATAAATTTTTTATTACAATTATAAAATTTTTAATATAATTTTTAATAAAATAATTTTATAAAAATATAACAATTATGATTTATGTTTTACATTTCCTAAATGTATATATATATATATATAATGCAAATTTTTATTATTAAATAACTTAAATAAATTTATTATTAATATTACTACTCTATATAATGGGAAATTTTGTTACAATGCAATTAACTTTCAATAGTTCTAAAACTCTATAAATTTTAGGTCAAATTTTATTCATAAATTAAACTCTTTAATTATTGAGTTAAGTTAATTCTAATTCTATTTACGAAATTAAACTCTATATTTACGAAAAACATATTTTTAACACATATTTTTTAAAGTAATTCAATAATTTTTGAGTATCACTTTTTCAAAATTAATTGAATTATTTTTCTGATAACATATTTCAAAAAGTGTTCATGTAGTTATTATGGTTTTTCTTATAAACTATAATGTTATTCTAAGGAACTAAAATATATGTATACTAAAAATTTAATTGTGATAATAGCACAGAGAAATTTTTTTTAGTATAACTCGTTTTTATTAAAGCATTAAAATGCACACCCAAATCTCAAAAACAATATAGAGAACACAAACAAAACATGAAAACACAATTCAATTTAATTTTTAATTTTATAATATAAAATTTATATTACCTACTTTGGTGGTTAGTATTGAATTTAAAAATTATTGATACTCATTCTTAACTCAAGCTATATATTGATATTTTGTTTTGATATCTTCAAGCACAAATTAATATAAAATATCTACGATCCGATTAATTATATTTTTTTTAATTCAAATATAATTTTGGAAATAATAATTTATAATAAAATTATATTCATAAATCTATGCAAATTATGTATTTTATGCAATTTTATTATCATTAAGCAAATTAAAGTAAAAAAAATTAAATAATATTTAAGAAGAATTTGAAAGCTGTCGCAGGCAATTATAAATATTATTAAATATTTGAATCAAATTTTACAGATTTCCATAAAATTTAAATCGACCTCCGGAATAACTGAATATTGAAAAGAAATATTTTTTTTAGATTTAAAGCATTATAAGATCACAATTTGACCTTTAGTGTACGAGGTGAAATTTTTAACAAATTCGTCGAGCATTTATTATAATAACTCTCTCCCAACTTCTCCGTAAGTGTATCCCTACGATAACAAAATTAACACTGAGTAAGAGAACATGAAACAGTATAAAAGTACAGAGAATATGCAAGAGCGAGAAAGAATTATATGAAAGTAATTACGAAAGAAAAGGCGGAAGGTGTTAAAATTTACTACTATCTCATCAGTTAAAGGTTAATAATACTGTATTATTAATATTAATACATTTTGTTAAGAACTTGCGACATGTCGTAGTAATATGAAGAGTCTTCTGTAAAATTAACTATATTTCACTAGTACTTCTTAATTATTGAAATATGTATTTTTATATTTATTTATTCACAATAAACAGTGTTAAACAGAAAACAGAAATTTTTATAAAAAGTTTGAAAATTTCTGTATATGCAGCCACTTTACGTACTGGATCCCGAGTGTGGCAGCATGGAAAATAGAATGAAGAATCAAAAAAAATGAAATGTTGTATTTTCGATCCTTTTATACGATGTTTTTGTTTGTATAGTTTCAGTTGCAGAAACGATGAGGGTACATTATGCTATATAATGGTGCTCGACTTTTTAAAATTGCAGAAACAAAAAAAAAAATAATAGCAAAAAACAAAAAATAAAGAAACTAAAAAAAAGCAATTAATTCAGCAAAATTAAGAAAAATTAAATAAAATTTTTTTTTTTAATTTTTTTCAAACTTACGACTCATGCTTTTTCCTAGTTTTGGTGGTTTTTCTCTAATATACAGTTCTTCTCCGGTTCCATTAGCTTTTATATTTTTTTTTTTTTGCAGGGGGAATAAATTTGATTTGATATGTTTTTTTTTTATTATTCAGATATTATACGTGTGATTTTTTTTATTTTGTATATTTGCAATATTTGTTAAATCCAATTACAGTTGGTGAAATAAAATAAATAAAAAAAAAAGAAACACGGTGGTTTGGTAAAATTATAAATTTACACTCTATTATAATTATTTTATACAAAACAATATTTTAAACACGTGTCGAATATTTGTGTATAATATATGTATATATATTAATATAAATCAATTTTATTTCAGAATTCATAAATTTTTTTTTAAATTTTTAATTTTTTCTATTTTAAAATATACATAAAATATTCTTTGTATACTTTTATTTATTTATATAATAATATAAATTTAAATTATAACATTAGCTATAGTAGCTATTCAAATAATTAGAAATATTACCGTTTCGTATATTATGCCTGTGTATATAGTTTATACAGTGATACACAGAAGACAATTTTTGTAATTACACAATACAATTATTTTTTTTTTAAGGGGCGATAGTAAGTATTAAGTTTTTTTATTTAAAATAGCACCGCTAAAAAAAAAGTATTTCTGTTGTATAATTATAAAAATTGTCTTCTGTATATCACTGTCAACTATATATCACTATAAACAATGACATTATTAAAATGGTTTAATTTTTTTTAATATAACTCTGACTTAGCAGACTCAAGAAAATTTTGTGAAAAACACTGGGAAATAAAAATTCCCAGTATTTTTTATTTTGTTACGGTCAACATTCAAAATTAATGTAACATTTTTCAAGTATATATTTATAAAATATTTTTAAATTTAAAATTAAATCCAATAGAAAAATTATTTGGTTTTATTTTCTTAAAAATATATTACTTTGATATTTAAAATTTTTTTCAAAATTTCAATATAATAATCACATTTTCGGAAAAATAATTGTTAATATTATTAAATAATATGATAAATATTAATTATTAGGAAAATGAAAAACAACATCTATATAGTGAATGTTCAATATGATATTGAAATATATTACAAAAAAATTATGACAATATTTATTGTAATAATGTTTAGAAATTAATTATATGTATATATATATATAATTTTTTTTAATAAAATAAAATTAAAATAAATTTTTAAATACAACATTAGATGATAATTTTTTTTACCCATAAAAAATTTATTTTAAACTTAAAGTATGTGTACAAGTATAATCATCAATTATCAATAATATTATAGCAATTTAATTTATAAAGTAATTTTTGCTATAAAAAATTTATAAGAAATAATAAACATGATTTAGATTAATTTTGTTCTTTAAGTTTAAAATTCATTAATATAATCATAGAAATTAAATTTAAAAAAATTAAAATAAAGAATTAAATATAAAAAATAGAAAATATTGAACTTAAAATTCATGAATTCTAAATATAAATTGATTTCATTAGAAATTTTGCATTTTGTGTATTTCTAATATATTTTTTTTTGTACATTATTATTAATTTTTTTTAATTTTCTATAATTTCATATAATATTATCAAATTAAATAAAAAAAATATGTTTTCTTTTGTTTTAATTTTACAAAAGAACTTTAATTGTAAAATTAATTTTGATTGATGCACTCACCTTGTATCGATGTAGAACTACCACTTGAATGACCATCCATATCATCAAGACCTACTATTTGTTTGGCATTTGATTTTTTTTTTTTCATTAATTATTTTTTTTTTGTTCAACCAAATTAACAGTGCACATATTGTTTCAAAAAAAAAAAAAAAATTTAAAATCCAATTTTTAATAAGAATTTTTTTTTATTTTGTTTTTAAAAATTTTTTCAAATAGTTCTTATATTTTTTATTATTTTCTCTTTTTTTCTCTCATATAAAACAGAAATACACACAAATATTACTTTTCACTTTCTAATGTCACCAGATATAAATAAAATATTGTAAATTAATAACAAAAGAAAAAAATTGACATTATCATAGAAAAATTAAACGGGGAAAATGAAATTTAAAGAAAACACTAATTAATATAAAAACATTTCAATATAACCAACAGAAAAAATATAACAACAAAAATCAAACAAAGTTAACTCACAAAAAATTTACGATGAAAGTATCTTTCATTCGGATATTCAAAAACACAATATCTTAATTATTATTTAAAAAAAAAAATAAATAATAAAATGTAGCAATACAAAATGTTTCATTAATAATGTAAAATGCATTTTATTATTATATTAAATACTTGAACGGCATTGAATTCGATAATTAATAACGATATTAAGAAACAATTTTATAATTAATAATGATTCGAAATATATAGGAATTACGAGTAAGATTATAAAGTTAAGAGGAGGAAATGAGCAGCATAATGTGGGTTGTGATTGACAGAAGATGATTTGTGTATTGATTTTAAGTAGAAAAAATTCCTTTATGCAAATGTTTACTTTTTTACGTTCTAAAATACGATCATCACTAACAATTCATTAACTCAATTTTGAATTACACTCACAGTTTACTAAGTTTTATGTGTTTTTAATCATTTATCTCACGCTATTTCACGTTGTAGTTTTTAAATAAACAATGTATGTATGTATGCTTGTTATTACCATTTTATGTGGAAGTAGTATAAAGAGATAAGGAAAGCACTTTTGTCAGAAAAGTGATTCTTTCTTTAATTTAAGTTTTTTTTTTATTTTTGACAATTATGTTTTTACGATATGTATTGTATTTTACGTTCTTACTTATTGTATTTGATAAATTTCTATTTAAACAAATATACTATAATTCTTATGATTTGAAATTTTTTTTTGATTTTTGACAATTATGTTTTTACGATATATATTTTACGTTCTTACTTATCGTATTTGGTAAATGACCATTTAAACAAATATATTATTTAAATTTAAATTTTTTTTTCAAAATTTGGACAATTATGTTTTTACGACATGTATTTTAAGGTCTCATTTATCGTATTCTTGATATATTGTTATTTGATTCACACAAATACACATTATTCGTTCGAATATTATAATTTAATAAAATTTAAAATCAATACACTTTTAATGTAAAAAAAATTGACATAAAATATAATACGAGTATAAAAAAAATATAATATTTAAATTTAAATTTTTTTTTCAAAAATAAAAGCAATTTTTCAAATTTCAACAAGTGTATATATATATATATATATATATAGTATATGTAATGTGCATTACTACTTTATAATTGAGTTAATATTTTACATGTTTCCCTTTTTTAATTAATTATAAATGAAAAACATAATATTTAAATTAAAAAAAAATTTAAACAAAAGTTATGTGATTTTAATTAAAAATATTATAAAAAAACAGAACAGTTAAATTAATGTATACGAAATAATAATAAAAATTAAACGTATATTTAAAAAAAATTACAATTTAACAAAAAAAAAGTAAAATAATTGAAAAAAAAAATAAATAAAATAAATAAATTTTTGTTTTTACTTTGAATTAAAAGTGAAATAAACAAATAAAATAAATAATGGAAATTCAACAAGGTGTGAAATAATAAGGTGTTGGTTATGGTGTTAAATAAGTTTAAATGTCATTGTTCAAAACATAATAAGTGTTGTTAAAATTTTGTAAGTACTAGTTGGTAGTTATACACATGTTAACATGTTAAAAAAAATAATACAAAATACAAAGAAAAATAATCAAAAATCCTAACATAACTTTGGTTATTCCAATGAAAGTGAAAATAAAAGTGATTATAATTGAAAAAAAAACGAAAAAATAAAATTAAATAATAGAAAAATAAAAACAAAAAATTTTTAAACTTTTATTTTATATAAAATAAAAAAAATGCTGTTAATTTTTTTCTCTGTGTATTGTTTTTTTTAACAAGAATTTTGTGTAAAGAAAGAAGAGATGATGTTAAATAGGGGAAATTGGGGAACGTCTATATATATGTATGTATAAAAATCTAAAACAAACATGTTTTTTATTTATATAATAGAAATGCGATGTTATCAATTGTTTTATATTCTGTCAAAAATGCATTTGAAATTTTTAATGGTTTTTGTATATAAAGTTTTTTTTTAAAGTAAGTTTTATGTACAGTAAAAGCTTGATTATTTTTATATCATAATCAAAATATATTGACGCAGTTCTTATGTAACATTATTTCGTATTTATTTACATTATTATGTACACTTTCAGGCCTGGCTTTGACTTATTCGGCGCCCTATGTAGTTTTCAAAATGTGCGCCTTCTCCTAGTACTTTCGTAATGGAAAAATTTGTTTTCCTGTTTTAAATTTTCCACAATATATTTCGAATATTTATTAATACTATTCGAAATACACAATATTTATATTGGGCATTTGATATTTTAACTTAATCACATATTGTCTTTAGACTTCAATAAGAAACCCTATATTTCATTTGAAAACTATCGAGCTTGTACTGTACTTATAATTAACTTATTTAACATATACATATAATCAAATAATTTAATCTCAATAATAATATGCATAAACTATATAACAACATAATAAAAAAGAACAGAAAACAAAAAAAAAGAAAAACATTTTTTTTTTCGTTTTTGCAAAAATCTAAAAAATTGAATATTACTTTTTGATTTTTTACAAAAAAATGCTGGTGATAGTGAACGAAAGTGATATTTTATTTTATGTATTATATTTCATATATATCTCCATATATTTATAATTATATATATATGTAAATATATTATATAATGTTATACATATATAATTTATTATTATAAATACTATAATTTTTTTTTCATATAATTTATTTATGTTTTTGCAATAAAATTTTCATTTTATATATTTTTTTTTATAAAATTAATCGAAATATTTCTCATAAAAAAAAAAAACAAAAATTTAAAATCCTTAAATGTATTTTTTTATTACTCACCTCGACATTGTCCTGGCACACCTAGAAAATTTGGATTTATAACACCAGCTGGATGAGCAATTATTTGTGGATTTTGATTAACCAATGCTTTTTGAACTAAACCAGTTAAATTTGCTAATTGCCTTTCCATATGCTCTACTCTAATTCTATGTAAGTCTTCAGGTCTAAAAAATTTGTACACATTTAAAAAAAAAATTAATTAAATAATTAAAACAACATAATTTCATTAAAAAACATATAAAAGTAAAAGAAAATAACCGGATATCAAAATATAAATAATTAATTGAGGGGAGAAAATATAAAAAAATTAAATAATTATTTATGCATTTAAAGAAAAAAAAAATAAAACGAAAATAGCAAAAAAAAGAAATTAAATGTGTGTATAATTGCTTAATTATAGTCTTTAAAAATTTTGTTGAATTTCGATTTTTCTGCTTTTTGCTCTTATTTTTTTTTTCATGAAAAATGATTTTATTATACAAACGAATTCATTGAATATATAGGTATTGAGGAGGGTGCGTTTATTATATATACATACCTAGTAATTTATAATTTATGAAAATGGAAATTTAATAAATTAATTTTTCAAGTGAAATTAATTTTATCATTAAACGATGTGTTGACACAACATTTTAAAATTAATGTGTACATGTATAACATTAGTAGCATAAAATAATTACTTTAATAATTTTATTCACATTTGTTTAGCAAAAATTTTTCAAAATTATATCAAACGAATTGCTTATACCAAGCATCAATTGTCATGCAAATTAATATTACATGAAAGAGTCAAAACAACCATCATTTAGACGCACAAAATGCAGTTATCAGATTGAATACCAAAATCGTCATTATCTTATGAAGGAGTATAGTTTATCTCTTAAATGAAAAGAATAATAATTTAATTTGGAAGAATTATCCTGCTTGATCGCATTCTTTTCCAATATTATTTTTTGTATGGTGTATTTTACGCTCACTCAAAATGAAAATTTTCAAAAAAAAAAAGTATATATACCTTAGCGCCATACCCTTATACATATTCAAGTATAATTCACACTTTTAAATTTAATTTTTATTTTATAAAAAAAGAGCGTATATTTTAAATGATTTTAAATTTTGATAGTAATGTTAAAAGGTTAATGAACTAAGTTTGTATGAATAATACAGAAAAAATATAGAAAAAACAAGATTTAAAATTGAATTATAAATTTTCACTTTCTTTATCGAAGAAGGGGTGATGAAAAGAAATCTTAAACGTTTTATTTCTATAATAAGAAAGAAAGCGTCATTGAAAGACATTGGAATCTTGCTAATTTTTGAAATATTATGGTAAAAATAAATTTTATGTGCTTTAGCCATAGCATATTTTTTATATATGGTCTGATAAATCTATTGTTTTAATATTGTTGTTGAAAAAATATAACAAAAGTTTGTACTTATGTACATACATATATGAAAAAAAATTTCGCACTAAAAATATTACTTTTTATTTTGAATTATTTAATAATAATGTCGTTTGTGATTATTTGAGTAGAAAAAAATTTTATAAATCTCAATGACAATATTAAGTGCAATATAGAGTAAAAATAACAATATGTTTTATATATACGTTTTCTTACTATATATTATTCTTGAACATAAGAAAAATTGTTTATGGTTCTATGATTTTACAGAGCAGAAAATTTGATTTATGAAAATAAACCCATAATAATCAAATTTATACATTTGTTATTTTATATAAAACAATGTGTTATATTTTTCCTCATATAAAGTGAAAATTAATAATTTTATTATCACCATAACACCATAACAATTTATTAAAGTGTTTTAGTTTCGCAACTTTAAAGAAAAATATTTTTTACAATACGAGACATAATTTCTTTGAAAAACAACATTTAAAATTTTTTAATAATTTGTCGCAGTTTCTATTAAACTTTCAATCGATCATGAGCGTGTATATTTAAAATCTTTAAAATGAATTTGTTATTTTTGTTTTAAAATAAATAAGAGCTAAAAATAGAGAAATGTGGAAAATTTTATTTTCACTTTACTATTTAATAGTAGTAATATTATGTGAAATTAATAATAATAATAAAAATCAGGATAATAATATTAATAGTGATAATGAAGATATCCTTAAAGAAGAATTAGAATATTTAAGTGAATTACCATTAAATGAATTAATTAAAATTCAAAAATCTTTAAATGATTTAAATATTCGAAATGATGAAAATAATATTAGAATTACTAAGAATAATAATGAAAATTTACAAAAAAATATTGAAAAATTAAATGATGATCCTGATAATATTGCTGCTGAATTTATTGATAGTGATGAAAATGATGATTTAATGGAATCAAGGGCTTTACCAATTAGTGGTCGAGATTTAACTTCATTACCACTTGTTGGTGGTGTTATTGAAAAATTTTTAAATAAAAGTTCTAAATTTAATTTTTTCGGTGGTGGAAAATATTATAGTCATAAAAATAATGATGGAGTAAGGAATAGTGTTGAAAGGTATTGATCGTTTTCCATATTTTTGAAGATTGAAAATTTTTAGAAAATAATAAAAAAAATAATTTTTTTTTTTTGAAAAGATCCTATGAACATGGGGAATATAATAAAGAACCATCAAAAATTGAAACAATATTTCAAATAAGTATAACTGGATTATCATTTTTAGCATTTGGTGGTTATTTACTTTGTATGATTGTTCAAGCTATAAAAAGTAAAGGTAAGAAAAATTTTTTTTCCCGGAATATAGAATTTATATTTTAATTCAAATCTAATTTATTATATATAAATAGGAACAACGTATTATCATCCTGCTACTACAGCTATAGGACAATTAAATCAAAATAATCAACCAATTAAAAGAATTAAGGTTTATAGACGTTCAAAAAGATCAACGACTGTAATAATAGGAAAAAATAGAAATATTAATAGACATAATACAAATAATATGAATTTTGAAGATAATATGAATATGTTAAGTTCAGCAGCACCAAGTCCAGATGATATGTACGGAATTTTAAGATTATTTGCTGAGGGATACGTTAAATTAATTGATAATTAATTTTTACGAGAATCTTAAAAAAATATCGAGAATTACGCTCAAAATGTGGAAAAACTGTTATAATAATTAGAATTCGAATAAACTGGGAATCAAAAATTAAAATTTTTTTTTATATTTGTGAAAAAATTTCGGAAAAATTTCGGAAATACTAGGTGCTACTTTAGTAAAAGCAATAAAATGTGTAATAATTAAATTTATTTTGTAAAAAAAATCAAAATTGAATGGACTAAAGCCACTTGTTTCATAGTAAAATAAGAAACAAAAAATTTTTATTAAAATAAAAAACAAATTAAAATTAAAAAAAAAAATTGTTTATTTTTTTTAAGTATGTTTTTTTTTTTTAATTACCTAGTAGGATCATAAAGTTGATTTGGATTTCTAGGGATACGACCACTCACTTTCATACCATATAAAGCATATTCATCTTCTGTCATTGCACCATCACTATATTATTTATATATATATATACAAATAAAGTAAATAGAAAGAAAGAGAAATAATTCAGAATTTATAGTAAATTGTATAAGTTGAATGAAAAACCACAAAAACAAAAAAAAAAAAGAAAAAACAAAATCATAATAAAATTTTAATCATCTATGTATATGCAATGTTTACTTACCATCTTTGCTCTTCTGTTATAATTGGAGCAATTGGAGCACCTCTAGTACCATATTGACTATAATAAGGCTCTTCATAAGCACCACGTGTACCTCTTTCAGGTGAACTTGTATATCCATCTGCTTAAAAAATTTTTTATAAATTTTTTTTTTTTATTTTGTTTATTTTTTTTTTGTGTTTGTATATTATAAAAAAATATAATAATGATATTAAGCAAAAATATAATGTAGGTACTCTACATATATAAATAATTATGTATATATGTACATATACATAAATTTATATAATAATAAAATTTTGTTACTATATTGTATAAGTACAAAATTTTGTTTACAAGTACATAAAAATAAAATATATCTGTATATTATGAAAGGATGAAAAATAATTAAGTATGTAGATTTTTTATGAATTATAATGGTTCTTTCTTCTTTTTTTATTATATAGTTTTTATTTTAGGGTATTTATTTTTATTAATTATGAAATTTTAATTTGGATTTTTCAATTATTATAATACTACATGATTTTTTTTTCATATAAACTACATGAATTTAATATTAAATTTCAAGTTTAAAAATATTACAGTAAAAATTCATTAGAATGTATATCAGTTATAACATAACAAAATGTCGGTTATAGCGAACAAAAACGATAACAAAGTTTGGTTCATATAATAAAGTGTCTGGAAAAATTAAATATCGATCTTAACGAAAAATTAGTTACAGGGAATTTTTTTGCTTTAGCGACATTTCTGTTAATATGGAAATAAAATTGGCTATAACGAATACTTCCGCTTAAACGACATCTGGTTTTTTACATATGTAGCTTCTTCGTATTCACTTCTTCGTAAAATTTTTTTTTTTTTTGGCAAGGCATTAAATGTTATTTATATTAAAATTTCATTTTCATTTTGATTTTAATTTGAAAAATATTTTAATTACTCTTCAATAATAAAAGTTGAAGAAAGAGTAATACATATTTTTTATTTGTATACCGGTTTGTATAACCGATTTCTACTGTATTACTGTACAAAATATCACCTAGCATAATAATAATTGTCGTTGTATATATGATATGAAAAACAATAATTAAATTTTTATAAAAAAAAAAAATTCATCATTTTGTATAATGAATTTAAATTTAAAGCTTCATCATCAAGGAAAACGTTACAAACAAATACAAAAGTTTAGAATAGAACACAAAAAATAAAAAAATCAAAGACAAACAAAACAACAACAAAATAAAAGGAACTTAATATAACAATATATTTTTTTATTTCTTTTATATAAACGAATTCAATTTGTTTTTTTTTTTTCGTTAAAACTACAAAAAACAGGACTATTACAAAAATTACAAGGAAATTACAATATTGTTTATTAGTATAACTAAATTAACTCAAAGATTAAAACGAACAATAATAAAACATTTGGTAATTTGTATTAATAAATATATATATATATGTAGGTGTAGTATTTATTGATTTATTTAATATTATATTAATTAATTTGAATGTACGATTATTATAATATAATTTTTTATACACATTTTGTGTTTAATATATGGTTGATGCAATATGCGGTTTTATTTCTATATAATTATGGTATTTTTAATTGTAAATTATTAAGGAATTAATAAATTAATTATATACCAGTATTAAGTGTATAGTGTGTGTTAAAATAGTTTATAAATAAATTTAATTATATATACATACTATTAAAAAATTACTGAATATTTGTTTACTAAATATCATAATTAAATTTACTATTATATTTATTTTTAAATTTTGCCATTTATGATTTGGGGGTTTTATATGAATAATCAATTAATTTATACAATAGGTAATTGCTATATTTTATATAAAGCTACAATTATGTTTAAGGTTTGATATAGTGAGTTTTTACAGTGCGGTATAACAATTTGTAGAACAGATATTTATTATATTTTATTTTAAAAGGAGTATTTATATGTCAAACTATTCTATAACTAGAAAAAATTTTTTACACATTTCAGTCAAAATGCACGTCATAAAAATGATAATATTGTAGCGATATAATTAATAATAATTAACAATATTTCGAGTGTCATAATTCCATTTGAAAAACACCTATTCTAAATTCTCTCATTACTTAAATTATCATTCTTATTCTCAATTTCCTTCATATATTTTGATTATTTCTTTTAGCAACATTTGGTAACTGTTATAGCGTATGTATAATAAGAAGAATATGTACATATATTACAGTTTATATACAATTTAAATGTTATACATAAGAATTTGCAATGTTAACACATATTAAATTAATAGAATCTCAGCATTTTTTATGTAGAGTAGTAGTACCTGATAATTTTGATTTAATAAAATAATCATCTTTTTTTTTAAATTTTAACAATATTTATGAGTTACATTGTAATACATTATTCATTTATTGTGATATATAATATATCGAATAATCTATGATATTTACAGCAGGTGTAATTGATTTTTTGCAATATTTGATGCAATATTATGTATAACTATATGTAATTGGAAAACAATAAAAGTCAACTCCATCTGAATGTCATGACTCCATGAATGTCATAAATTGGTATAATAAAAAATTATTAACTACATTAATATATGTAAAATTGTATTACTAATATGTTCCACTACAAAGACACTGAGAAAAATTTTTAATTAAAATTATGACAATAACTCAAGTAGAAAAAAGGCCTAGTAAGTTGTGAGTATTTTTCTCAGTTTTGTAAATTAATTTTCTAGCCGAGTTAATTACAATTCTTATTAGAGTAGAATTATTCGAGTGGAAATTAATCAAAACTCTGCAGTAAATTTATAGTGCGAATTATTTCATTTATTATGTAGCAACATTAAAGCATTTTTTTACACTATATTTTGTTTTTTTTTTTTGCTCGTGAGTGTATTTATAAAATACTTTTAACAGTATAAAATTTATTGTGCTTGTAAATAGTTTTGGTAAATTACTAAAAGTTCTTATTCAAAATTAAAATTATCTAATCAAAAATTGGAGGAATAAAACTTTAATTATATAAGCTTTTCTTGTACATAATATATAAGAATTTGTATGTAAAGAATGTGATATGTGTGTATTATAATCATATGTAATATAAATATGTTACGAGTAGTGGTTTGTAAAACAATTTGTTTTTGTATGATATTTGTACTTTTATAATTACAATAATATTATTAACGTATATATATATATATATCGTATAAGAAGGGCTATATTAGAAACTGCCTAAAATGAGTCTTAAAGCTATATATACATATCAACATACATATATAAAAGAGGTATTGTTTATATGTACGAATGTATGTATATATATGTTATTATAATTGAGAAGGAAAATGTAATCATAATGAAGTAAAAAAAAAATTTTTGTAAGAATGAAATGAAAACTTATAATGTATATGGAGAACTTTGCGTTTTTTTCTCTCTTATCCTATTATGTAAAAATGACAATGGAAAAAAACACAACAATAACAAAAAACAAAATAGCGAAAAACAAAAAAATAATGAAAAATAAAACGAGTAGAAAACAAGAAAACACAACTGGACACAATCACATAATTGAAAATAAAAAAGAACAAAAAACTGAAAAAAAAATTTGAGAAACGAAAAAGTTTTCTTATTTTTTATTTTGTTTCTTTTCGGTTGATTCTTGTAGTATTTTTTTTTTTTCGTTGTTTCTTTTATTTATTTGTTTTTTTTTTATATACCTGGGATACTGTAAAGCTGATCCGGAGGATAAGGGAATGGAGGTCCCATGCTACCCCTTGAGCCATATGATCTCAATGGTTTCGCTGGAGCTCCTATATATGTACATAGCACAGAGCACAAGAAAAAAAAAAAACAAAAAAAAATTTCAAATAAAAGTTGATGAAAAATTAAACCATAACGGAAAATCATAATAAAAAAAAAGACGAAAACAAAACGGGAAAAGAAACGAAAAAAATTGGAAAATTGGAAATGTTATAAAAAAAAAATTAAGAAAAAAAAAAAGCAAAACACACATATTTATTTCTTTTAATAATGATCGTAATATAATAATAAGAATAGTAATAGTTATATGTATAATAAAAATGTAGGTAATATATAAGTATAACAATAATAATAAAATATATGCGCATATGTGAAAAACCAAATTTTTTTTTTATTATAGAAAAAAAAACAAGAAAATAAGAAAAATATATAATGAACTTTATGTTTATATAACATAAAAAATTATATGAAATTATTTCCGAAAAAAAAAGAGAAAAGGATAAATAGATTTGCCTCAAAAATGCGACAATGCGAAAAGAAATAAATTTATTGTGGAAGCTAAAATATTGTGAATTATATAAAAAAATTTAATTATAAATTGATTTGCTTCGATATTTTTCAATAACAGGAATATGTTAACATAAATTTTTTAATATTGCCAGATTTCATTATATGTATTTTATATCCTTTAATTTCTTTTGAATTTTTTAAATAGTTGTAACCCTATTATGTGATTAATTTTTATTTGTAAGGAAGATGTAACTACAAGAGCATATTTATGAAAATTTATATGTATTATTTGATTTCTATGTAATGTTTCGAAATTATAATTTTCAAGGAATTTGAGAAATTTTTTTCTGCCCCCTAAAAGTATGCAAAATTTCCTTCTGTTTTAATTTGTTTTTTCAATAATTTTTCCAACTTGCAAGGGAAGGGGATTGTTTAAAATTTTTAAATGGTATATAGCTTATGAGAAAAACTTACATGTTTCTGAATTTTTAAGACTATAAATTTTAACGGAGTTAATTTAAAATTTTATTTTCGTTTAGTTTATTATATTGGAGGTCCCCAACTCCAATATAAACTCAAAGATACATAAAAGAAAGAGTATTGTATGTAATCAATAAATTTCGTCAACATTGTATTATTTTGACATCAATATTTTTTATTATAAAATAGCATACTAACAATATAACAGATAAAAATTTGTCGTTATATTTCACTATGATTGCATAATAAGTAATTATATGATTTAATAACTCTTTAATTAAAAATATTGAATGAGTAAAATATCTATTGGTTATTTTAATTATCGTCCAGAATTTATTCATATTTGAAAAATATTTCCACCTATATACTCGAGCATTAAGTCACAAAAAAAAAAAGAACAAAAACTAATAATCGATTAAGAAAATTTGTAGTTTTTTTTTGTATTGTATTATGGGTATACACGAATAGCTAGTTGGTTTGAACTAAATATTTAAAAAAATTTTTTTTTAATTATAGCTAAATATGTAGAACATTTAAAAAATGTGTAATTTGTTAAGATTAAAGGAAGTCTTGTACGATTTTTTATTTTTTATGTTTCCCATTCATAAAATACGAGTAGCAATATTTTTGTGTATTCTGAATAATTACTTAAGAACGATTAAAATTTAGTGACTCAAATTAACAATTTCCTACATAATTGCAAAACAATTTACGCATAATATTCAATATTTATTTATTGTTTTTTACAATATTTAATTATTATATTAGCAATAATTAAATCCATTAAAATAATTACAACTATTGGGTTGAAAATTTACCGTTGTTTTCGTAATATTGCATCAATAAAATCAAGACATTTTATTATTAAGAGTCACTTCAATTATATTTTTGAAACGCCTAATTATGTATGATGAATTCGCTAAACTTCTTTGCGTATTCGACAAAAAATTGAGCGAATGAAAATACTATGTTACAAATGCGCATTGTTTTTAAAAGCATAAACAGTGTTTGTATTGTATAATGATCTACTAAATAGAACAAATCTTTACAGAATACCAAATACTAATTGTATTTGGTATTCTGTAATAATTCGCCTATCGAAATACTAATATTGGCGAATTCGCTATACATAATGATGCTTTTAGGCTGCTTTTAGGCTTGTCATAAAATAAACAGACCTACAACATATTTGTTATGTGGCATCTTTAAGTCAAATTTCATCCTATCACTCACTTTATAATAAAGAGGATGAGAAAGTGAATTAAGTTCAATTCTAAAATTAAAAAAAAAAAACTTAATACTTAATTAAAATATTTATATTAATTTATGGGTACAAGAACGCTTCATTTTCGTTTCACGCGTACGTAGAAAGAAAGCATTTATTTAAATAAATACACTCAAAAAAATTATACTTAAAAAAGTTTAAATATAATTAAGAGATCCTTTATATATGCTTATATTTTTTGATAATTTCGTGAATATGCAGAATAACATCAACCAAAAAAAAAAAAAATCAAAAAAAACAAATAGGAAAAAAATTTTAAAGAATTTTTTTTAGCGTTTTCATACATTTTTTTTTTATTTGTAAATTATGCGAATAAAGTGAAAAAAGTTTATATACTTAATCTTAAATATCATTTTTATTTGTATATATATAAGACGTGTATTAAAAAATATAAAAAATATATATATATATATATAAAATTGCCAGTTTTCTAAAATAATCATGCAGAAAAAAAAAGAATTTGAAAAACCATGGGGAAGAAAACTAAAAACATTTTCACTGAATTTTTAATTCAACAATATACACCATACCACTTTGATATTTTATGATGAAATTAAAAAGTAAAACAAAGAACCAAAGTAATTTATAATCATCAAAATAGCATAAAAAAAAAAAACTTTTTTAAAACTATAAACTATCAAAAAAACTTGGAACTCTTATACTTAACATAATTAACTCACTAACATTTAATATTTATATATAAAAATGTATGTGCGTGTAGAAGAGCGGGAGGAAATTTATATATGAGGAGAAATTATGGTAGTAGCTTTATAATTTAATAGGAAAAAATAAAAAGTTTTCTTTATGATTATATGTTATTTTTTTTAAGCATTACGTATAATTTAGCTATACAAACAAATTTAAGAAGTTTTTTCTATTCATTTTTTTTGTTCCTTCAGTTAAAGAAAAAAAAAAAAAAGGGGATATGGAATGCATTAAGTTTTTCAAAAAAAAAAAAATAATTAATTATAGTCGCTTTTACTTTCTTTTAGTTTTATTTGTGCACTTATGTAATATTTTAATTTTTATGCAGTATTCATTAAAATATATTAAAATTTGAGTATAACATTGAAATTTTCTGATTTAAGAGAGAAAAATGTTTAAATTTTAAAATATTGTTTGAAGTGATAATATTTTTGTTTAAGAGAATTCTAAAATAACTCAAATACGCGAGCTCTGTAGCTTTTATGTATGAAATTCTATATTAATTCCATGTTAATCATGTTACTAAATCCGAAATTTATACTTAAACAGATGAGGATTTAATCAGAATTTAATTATGACCGTAATTCATGACATTTAATCGTAAACCTTTAAATGGTAAGGGATTAAAATGCGGTGATTGAAAGGCATAAATTTCTGTTCTGTTGTTTTCGAGAAAATATTGTGGTTTCTTAAGCGTAGCAAATATAAGAATTTCGAAATACACAAACAAAATTTCGTGTGCAAATTAATTTTAATTAAAATTAAATTGAGAATTTAAAATTTTAATTTATCGTTTTTATATTCCGGCGCTTTTATTCAGTTTGCTATGAAAATTATTCACTTCACTAACAGAGAAAATTAAATTTGGTTCAGAAATGCGTCCTTATTTCGCTTGTTTATTTTGGGAATTCATTAATAATAAATTTTTAATAATAATAATGTAATTATAGTTACTAAGTTTAATTAAATTAATCATACTGCATAAATGTAGGTATTTTTAATGAAATTAAATTATAAATTTTTTAAAAATTTTCTTTCAACTTTAATACGAAGTTTTAATATTCGATTATCTCTTGTAATCAAGTATTGAAGTAACATAAATCATTTACATATATATATATAGATCCCCTATAAATTATTTATATTTTCAGCATATAATAACAATGTAATGCATCTTTAGTTGAAAAACTATCAAACTATCATCGTTTTGTATATAGGTAGCTTACATAAGTGCAGTACATGAAAAGGATATAATATAGTAGAAGAAGAAATTTTGTTTATTTTTCGAGAATACGCAAATTAAAAAAAAATTGTGTTTTTTTTTCAATGCACATTTAAAATTAAATTTTAATTAAAGGATCTTATTAAAAACATGAAAATAACAACAACAAAAAAAAAAGTTGTAAAAACAAAAATTTTTTTTTTTTAATTTAAAAGAATTTTCTTTTGTATTAAAAATACACACATCCAAGGAAAAATATAAAAGGATTGGAGTGATGTAAAAAGAGGTTTCGAAAAAAAAAAATTTTTTTTTTTCTCTTATTTTTTTTTTTTTGTATATTTATGTAATTAAAAAACCTTACAATTACTTTTTAAGTATATTTTATGTGTAAATATCAAGTATGTAGAACAATAACAACAACGACAACCAAAACTTACCGACAGCATTTTTATTTCTATCCGAATACATGCCACGGGGTAATGTTTGAGCTGCTCCAACATAATATGGTGCTGTTTTACCACCCTGTAATACAAGAAAAAAAAAATTATAGAATATAGTTTTTTTGTTTTGTTTCAGTTTACATGAAAAAAACAACAACAAAATTTCAGAGTATTGTAAAAAAAGGATAACGGTAACTATATTATAAATGTTATATAGAAGGAGTAAAAAAGAGAGAAAAAAATTTTAAATGTTAATTGTTTAATAATTTGAAAAACTTTAGAAAAAAATAAATATTTCCTTTTTATAAAATATAGGGCTTTGGAGTTTTTTTTTATTGTATTGTTAGTTATAATTTTTGTATATTATTTGAAGGACTCGCTCAAATTTTTTGCGTCTTTTCATTAAAAAAATAAAAGAACAAACAATTTTACCACATAATTTTGACTATAGTTTTTTACAATATTTTATGAGTTTTATTAATGCTGGTGTTTTAACTACAGTATTTGATTATATACGAATTTACGATGAAGGGATTTTACGATGAGAAGGGAATGTTCGAGAGTATATCATTATATTCTAAGAAATTACAAAAAAAACGCATTTAATTTTCGATTGCGCTTGTTGGGTGGTTTAAATAAATTGGTTTTTTTATATTGTTAATTAATTTATTTTTGAAAGAAAATTTTGTGTAGAACAATTATGCAGTGAGTTTGATTAAAATTTTCCAAATAAAAATCGCATAGTCATGGTGGAAAATTAGCAAAATGAGATAAATAAGTGAAAAGGATTTTCAGTAGATTTGGTAAAAGAAAAAAAATTTGAGATGAATTTTTTAATTAGAGTTATGATAATAAAAACTAATTCGGCTTCAAATAAATTTTTGTTTCTTGTGAAGTTATAAGAAATTTAAAAAATATTAAGCATAAAATCATATAAAATGAATTATTCATTAAATTGTATGTAGAACTTGAATATTATATTTAAATATTTGAAATCCTTGAAAAATATCTGAATTAGTCAGGGGTGTTCCTCCAGAGATTGATTTATTTTCGATACTTGCCGCCTAAGCATGAAAACCTACAGGATTCTTCTTTCGAATATTTCATCACTTTTAAAATTTTAAATGGACAGTCTACAAGTACGTATTTAATAGGAAAAACCCGTAGGCCTCGTAATATATGTGACGTTTAGGAACAATCGAGATCGCATTAAAATGTCAAAAATTGGCAATAAGGCTTAATTTTATTAAAAGTTAGATTTAGTGATACACTTACAGACGAATTAAAATTAATTTTTTTATATTATTATTTCTACAATTAAATTGGATATGCATTAATATGCATTTCATATACATAGTAAACTGGAAAATATTTACGAAAAAAAAAATAGGTTGAAATAACTAAATTGAAATTTCTGTTTTAGAAATTAGTTCAGTGGGTTTTCATTATTTCTTTTGGGATAACAATTTAAATTATTTTCAAAAATTTATTCTTGTACATTATTTTGAAATTTTAAAAAAATAAAACCATAAATGATAAAAAAGAAAGTAAAACTATTTTACACCATCATGTCATTGTTATAAATTAAAAAAAAAAAAATGAAAACATAAAAAAAGCAGAGTGAAAAAATAAAGTTAAACAAAAGAGTACTGCTTTTTTGGTGTTCTAGTTTTTAGTTTTTTTGTTTTAATTGAAATTTGCAATAGACATTTGAAATGTTGGTTTCCATTTTTGTTTTTACAAAATTGTTTTCAAATTATTTTATGATGTGCTTATAAAATTTTAGAAAATTTAGTTTAAAACTTACAGAAAAAGTTAAAATTTGAATTTAAATTGAAATAAAATGTTATTATAGTGGTATTTCAACTGTTATATGCATATACTTTTTCCATATACTCGTATATACAAAATATTATGAAAATTTATTAATTTTAAAGTTACACAAGAATTTTTTTCTCTTTTCTTGTTTGATTTTGAATTTTGGATTTTCTGTGCCAAAGATTTTAACAAATTTTACAGAAGTTTAAAACAATTTAAAAATAAAATTTAATAATTTCGTATTTTAATAATTGTATTTGAATTAAAATTATATTGTTATATAAATTGAAGTTGTAAAACAATTGCTGTAATATGTGTTGTTTGTTTTGTTAAATGAAAAATTTGAAGTGATAAAGTTTGGTTAAATAAATGGTTTGTGAAACAGCACAATAGCTGTAAATATTAGCTACAATAGCTTTTAAATTTATGTAAGAAAATATTTTAAAAATTGCATACTTTAGGGCGAAACAAAAAAAAATTAAAAAGAGGAATAAAAAAATTAAAAATAGTTATATTTTTTAATAGGTGATATTTACCGTTAGTTTTTTTTTTTGTTTTTAGAAATTAGGAGAAGCTTGCAGTTTCGAGTGGTGAAATATAGCGTGGGGAAAATTCAAATTTTACAGATATCGGTAGACACGACTTGAGAGGGTGCAATTGGAAAATAATTTTTTCTAACGAAATAAACTATTTGTTAATATTTAAGAACTGATAAAATTTCTGACTACTACAACTTGCCTGGAGGAAAAACCATATCAAATATTTGATAAAAATAGGTTTAAGATAACGGGTAATATTACTAATTATTAGTACCAGGTATAGTTGTTTATATTTCTTTTACTATTGATTCTTGTAAAAATAACTAAGTTCAAAAGAACGAGTCTGGGTAGAAAAATTCATTAAAAAATTGTTCTCCTCGAGTTGAACTCGAACCAAAGACCTACCGCGAAAAAATTTAATTTTTAGGGTTTTAATCGGGTATAATTTTTGGAGGTGGGAGATAAACAAATTTCAGGTTTCTATCTGAAAGAGTCGAGTTTTTATCTGAAAGTTTTGTAAACGGGTTCCCGGGCGGACGGGACGGACAAAGTGAAACTAATATGCATTTTTTTTTTCAAATTTTTTTTTGGAAAAAAGCTAATAACTAAATTTATAAATTTAACTTTTTAAAAAAAATGTTAAAATTTTGTTAAAACAATAAAAATATTTTTACATTTTGTTACTGAAAAATCATGTGTGTGCATAATAGCATTAGATATTTTTCACATATTTTTCATTTTGCATACTATGCAGAATAGGAGTTGGAAACAATAAAAAATAATTGTTTTAACTTGAATTAAAATTTTAATTGTTTTACTAAATTTAATATTTCTGTTAATAGTTTCTATATTTTAAATTTTAATCGAAATTTTAGTTTTCAAGCATAATTTCATAAATTTGTATATTAGAATATTGAAGTTTTATTTTTTTCAACAAACTTTTTAATAAAATTTAAATATAATATAGTTGTGGCGTTCAAAGTTTTCACATATTAAAACTTTTAGAAAATTTTTTAACTTCAAAACAAAAAAGTTTTTCTTTATGAAAATTATAGAGAAATAATACTACTTATACGTATAGAAGGATTTGTTGTTTAATTGAAACTTTTTATAATACGTTTACGTTGAATACCTTGAATATTATTTTAACTTTAAATTTGAAAAAATAAACAAAATGTTAAGGTAAAAAACTAAGAGGAAATCGTAAGTTTAAATTATAATTTTTATTTTAAATGTTTTATAGCTGACGTTTTGAGTTTAATGATTAAATTTCAGGTTTTCATGAATTTTCATGAAGATTTTTATATAGGGAAATAATTAAAATGAGGTGAAATATATGCAAGATAAAAAAAGGAATTTTTCTTTAAAGGCAGCAAATTTTAAATGGCTAATTATTATTTATGGTTTGTCTAGCAATATTCTTTTACTCGAGAAAATGTCGATGAGTGATTTGGGCAGTCTTTGTAGTGGATTTATAAAGTATTCAATTACAATTAGATCTAATATACACATATGTATAAATTCGAGACATTGAACCTTTTGTAATAAGTACTTATTTTATTTTATATTAATATTTATTCCATTCCATTATTTTCATTCTATTTTTACAAATTAATTTATATTTGATGATTTATGTAAATTATTTTTGTAAAATTCTTTTATCTTATAGATAAATATTTGAATACAAATAAAATTTAATATAAGGACATACGAGTATCAATAATTATATTATTTTTGTGTATGCATGTATGTATATTTGCTTAAAGACAGAGTGAAAGAAAAACGAAAAAAAATTTTTCTAAATAATTTTTTGTTTCTTATTACGGAAATCGAATATAAATTTATACCAAAAAACAAATATGTATTCCATTTTTAATAAACCATTAAACCTACCAATAATTTTATCTAAAAAATCTTCAAATTTTCTTTCTCAAGTTACAAATACATACATAATTAAAATTTATAAAATAAAGGTTACCAAAATAACATTAAATTATGTTTGTAGTGTTTTTATTAATATAGAAATTAAGAAACGCATCAGAGTAGTTAAAATGCGAAAATTCTTAAAAAGGATGTTATACGCACATGTATGGTATTGAGGCTTCTTTATATGGAACTAACAGAATGAAAAATTTGTGTAAGAAATTCGAAGTTCAACAAGGCGGTTAAACAGTTTTTTATATTTTGTAGACGGCAAATATATAACAGCTTAAGTAAATCTGAAATGTCTTCCATCTGTATTATTTTGAAAATAGGAATCGGTGTCTCATTATACACAATGATATGTCGATGAAACATATTTCACATTTGCGTGCCGCAGTCTAAGCGGAAAACGATATCTTTCGTTAATAGAAGATATTGGGAAGCTATAGAAGGGAACTGGCTGAATGAAAAAAGACTTCAGTTCTCTGGCATGCTATAATAGGCCTAACTCTTTTTACGAATATATATATATCGCGTACATAGATATTGACATAATATTTTATACGATCGATACTTGCACCAAATATAATTTTGATTTGGTAATCCTTTTTAGTTACATGTCTGATTATATGTACATTTCTATACTATTTGAGCATATTTTCACACAATAAATTCTATATACATAATAAAAATAATGTACATATATATAAATCCAATTCCAATGAGACAGACAAGATTCGATTGATGTCTAGTTAAAAGGATCAATGTATTGATAGTAAATTGGAAAAAATATTTTCAAAAT